AAAAAAAAAAAAAACATGTTAACTGTAAAACTTTGTTTTTATATCTCTAAATCTTGTTGGTAATTTAGTCCAATCAAAGCAGTAGCCTGAATAAAACATTGATTTATTTGCTTTGTTTCTTGTTAGTACAATGTATTTTTTTAATGACTTTTATGTACCATTTTGTTTAGGTGAGCGGAGAATTAGGGTGCACACGCTTTGTTTGCCAGTGGTAAGTTCACTAGCAGATGTCTATGCAGGAGTGGATGTACAAGCCGCCATCTGCCTTCTGGCAAACATGGGTGAGTACAAAATGAAGGAACAGGTGAACTACCCACCACAGGTGCCTGTAGTCCCAGCTACTTGGGGAAGCTGAAGCAAGAGGATTGCTTGAGCCCTGGCTATTTTTTTGTTGCAGTTGTCATTGTTGTTCAGCTGGCCCAGGCCAGGTTCGAACCCGCCAGCCTCGGTGTATGTGGCTGGTGCCATAACCACTGTACTACAGGCTCTGAGCCAGCTTATTTTTTTAAACCAGAAATCTCTTATTTAAAAAAGTATTATGTTTTACACTTTTATTCACTGCAGTGTCAATTAGAGACGGTTCCTGTATTTATTTCTTGCTAATCTTAGTTTAAAATTGTTTTGTGGAATTTATAATCTCTAAAAACTGGAAGAACCTAAATGTTCTTAAACTAATGGATGTATACAAAAACTATTGTATATATCCATACAATGTAATAACACATACAGCCCAGCAATAGAAAGGAATGATTGAGGTCAGGAGTTCAAGACCAGTCTGAATAAGAAAGAGGAAGATCCCACCTCAACCAAAAATAGAAAAAATTAGCTGGGCATGGTGGTATGTGGCTATAGTCTCAGCTGCTTAGGAAGCTAAGGTAGGAGTTTTGCTTGAGCCCAGGAGTTAGAGGCCATACTGAGTTACAGTGACACCACTGTATTCTACCCAGGGTGAGAGAACAAGGCTCAATCTCAAAAAATAAACAAAACAACAACAACAAAAATTTTTAAAAAGGAATGAACTATTAATACTTGAACAAACAAGGATGACTCTTAAGGACATTGTACTAAAGGAAAGAAGTTAGATTTAAAAAGCTACAAGGCTGGGCGTGGTGGCTCATGCCTATAATCCCAACACTCTGGGAAACCCGAGATGGGTGGATCACTAGAGCTCAGGAGTTCAAGACCAGCCTGAGCAAGAATAAGACTCAGGTGCCTGTAGTCCCAGCTACTTGGGGAAGCTGAGGCAAGAGGATTGCTTGAGCCCTGGAGTTGAAGGTTGCTGTGAGTTATGATGCCACCACCACTCTACCGAGGGCAACAGAATAAGACTCTATGTGAACAAAAAACGAAAAAACACTGCATACATATGATTCAGTTTATATCACATTTAGGAACAGGGAAAATTATCAGATGTAGAATAGATCAGTGGATCAGTGATTGCCAGGGCTGGGGAAGCAGGGGGAATTTTACTGCAAAGGAACAATAAAAAGGAATAATTTGGGGGTGATGGAAGTGTTATGTATCCTTACTGTGATAGTGATTACCTGACTATGCACTTTACATGTAACCACCATAGAACTATATTCAAAATACAGATTTTATTGTAAATAAACTTAAAAAAAAATCCCTTAGGGGCTCATCGCCCATAGCTCAGTGGTTGGGGCACCAGCCATATACACTAGGACTGGCAGGTTCAAACCCCACCTGGGCCTGCCAAACAGCAGTGACAACTACAGCAACAACAAAAATAGCCTGGTGTTGTGGTGGGTGCCTGTAGTCCCATCTATTTGAGAGGCTGAGGCAAGGGAATTGCTTAAGCCCAAGAGTTTTTGAGGTTGCTGTGAGCTGTGACATGATGGTACTCTACCAAGGGCGATATAGTGAGGCTTTTGTCTCAAAAAATAATAGTAAATAAATGAAGGAATAAAAATATCCCTTAGGGAATTTATATAGCACTGAATGTTTTGTTTTTTAACAAATTTACCTTATAGATTAATTTAAACATGAAACAAGCCTTGCTAATTTCCCATGAAGTCCTGGAAAAAAACAGTCATTAATACTCATTTGGAGCAATATTACTATAGCATTCACTAAAGGATCCCAATTTTTAAAGTATTTTATTTCTATACTTTGAACTAATTATACCAAACTGATTATTTTTCAATCTAATTTTATTTTTAATGGTTAGGCATATGTATAGGTTATCTCTATTTTCTTTTTTTGCAGTTTTTGGCTGGGGCTGGGTGAACCTACCACCTCTGGCATTATGGGACCAGCGCCTCACTCCTTTGAACCACAGGCATCGCCCCTGGTTATCTCTATTTTAATAAAATATATTCTTTGACCTGGTGCCTGTAGCTCAAGCAGCTAAGGCACCAGCCATATACACCAGAGCTGGCGGGTTTGAATCTAGCCTGGGCCTGCCAAACAACAATGACAACTACAACCAAAAAATAGCCTGGCGCTTTGGTGGGCACCTGTAGTCCCGGCTAGTTGAGAGGCTGAGGCAAGAGAATCGCTTAAACCCAGGAGTTGGAGGTTGCTGTGAGCTGTGACACTACGGCACTCTACCCAAGGTGACAGCTTGAGGCTCTGTTTCCCCCGCCCCCCTCCCAAATATATATATATTCTTAAGGAAAATAAGCCTCATATTAAATAAATAAATTAGATAAACCTTCAGTATATGCATGAATGTCTATGTTCCTTCATTGTGCCCTTTTAAAAAAATTATTGACCTAGAATGCTTTGTAAAGAAGATTTTAGAGGATTAAAAGGGATAGCTCAGATTGTAGGATTTACATTGATTGTGCAGAAGAAAATGATACATGTGACTTCCATTTGAACAATAGAGACCTCTCCAGGGCTTTCTCAGAAGTACATGGATAGGATACATGCTCAAACATCAGTGATGGCTGAGTGTTTATAGATTTATAAGATTAACAAATAAACATTCAACAGAAAGTCGGCTTGTTTTGATATGTCAGGTGTACTTAGTTCAGAAAAAAAAAATGTACAAAGAGAAGTAAATTTTTTTATCCTAAAAACCAGAAGAAATTGTTTTTTAAATAATACATACAAATTTTGTATCTTGTAGTGTTCATTAGAATCTAATGATTAAATACTTTTCATTTTGGTTGCTTTATAGCTGTGGATCGATCAGTTTCTTCAAGTCTGTCAGATGCAAGAGATGCCTTAGTAAATGCGGTAGTGGATTCGTTATCTGCGTATGGCTCGACTATTTCCAATTTACAGCACTCTGCACTGATAGCACCCTGCTCCCTCAAGTTGTTTCCTCTCTATGTTTTGGCCCTTCTCAAACAGGTACCTTTCTATACATTGTTTTACTTAATAACAGTTTTTGAATGTTTTCAAATACATGTAGGAAGAAATGAAATCTAAGTTGTTGGTTTTTAAGACCTTATCAGAGTTTCTAATACTTAACATTGGAAGAGTCAGAGAGGGTCAATGGAATGTGAAGGTGTATAAATACATGATGGATGCAGTGAAGCCAGATCTTCTCTTTCTTTAGTACATGTTAACATTTTGGATAAATGTGTTCATATCTTATTCTTAACATGTCCTTCTAAAGGAATTCTACGGACAGGATTTAATATTTATTGAATACCTTTCCATGTCTCAGGCACCATAATAGGTTATTCTCTAAGAGAATAGGTTAAGTGTCTGTCATCTTATTTAATTCTTGCAGAAACCCAGGGGGGCATTATTTTTCTGGTCTTTCTTATGAAAGTAGTTTAGAAAAGCCAAGTAACTTGTTCCAGTGTAGAGCTGAGAATTGAATCCAGGTTTATCTAATTTGAAGGTCTTGATTCCAGGTCTGTCTGATTTAAATTTCATGCTTTTCCCAGGATTTATAGTATATATTTGCTTTAATATTTACCTTTTATTTTAAAACATACATGTTTTTCCTTATAGAAAGCATTTAGAACGGGTACAAGCACACGCCTGGATGATCGTGTATATGCCATGTGTCAGATAAAGTCTCAGCCACTTGTTCATCTAATGAAAATGATTCATCCCAACTTATACCGGATAGACAGATTGACAGATGAGGTATGCATTTTAATGCCTTTGAAATTTTCAAATTTGAGTATATTTAAGTGTCTTGATTCTATAGTTAAGGTGATAATAAGTAGTATATTATCAACTATTTTTTTTCCATTCATTTTACCCTGCCCTTATAGTGGTCTTACATTAAGCACACAACTTTGAATCTCATTGGATGATAGGACTCTTAGATATTGTCAAAGGTTATGGAGTTTTAAAAAATAGTTTCATATCAGAAGTGATTTTTCGTGTGGCATTATATTTATTATAAAATAAATAAATATATTTATTTATATATCATATTATTTATATGAAATATATAATATAATATTTATTACAAAAATAAGTTGTAGAGTTGACATTTCTATTTGTATTTTGGAGATAGTGACTGTTTCTGATATGATCAATTGAAAGCCCAAGAGTTTGAGGTTGCTGTGAGCTGTGATGCCACATGGCACTCTACTCAGGGCAACAGCTTGAGACTCTGTCTCCAAAACAAACAAAAAAAAAGATATGTATATATTTATTTATTTATATATATATATTTATTTATATATTTATATATTCTTGGAATTAGTATTAATCCCAAGCATAGTATTATGTTACTAAAGAAATGTAAAATTGTAGCTTGCTGTGCAGCAAAGTAGAGTCAACAGTTACACTTCTAATATGTCCTGATAACAAAAGGGAAGGACATGTCTTTACTTTTTTGATTTGAATACATTTGAGGGTAGTAATTCTATAGCCAAGATGGTAACATATAATCAATACTTTTTGCATCGTACAGAGCTCTCAAAGTGTTATTTTCCAGTATTTCATAAGGAGTAGCTATTATCTCTCAAATTATGTTGGTAGTAATGTAAGCTCAAATTTTGTCTTTTTCTTTTCAGGGTGCAGTACATGTTAATGACAGGGTTGTTCCTCAGCCACCTCTTCAAAAATTGTCTGCAGAGAAGCTGACGAGAGATGGTGCTTTCCTTATGGACTGTGGCTCTGTAAGCACCCTCTACTAACAAACTTCCTGCTGTTTCAGCTGACAAAAAATGAAACAGGGTCCAGCTCTGTTATCACAGTGGAGGCAGGGAAAGGTAGATTAGGAACTAAGAGGCAATAAATTGGCAGACACTCTCTGGTGTTCTCCTTGGGAAAACCTTTCTTCACTCTGCTTACCAACTTAATTGGACATAATTTTATATTGATATTTATATTGCTACATATATTATAGGTTAATAAACTTGTATATCATGGATTGATAGATTACATGTACTAGATAAAGAGAAGTAAAGTCTGTCTTGAAATACCATACCATAAAGAATCATAAAATTTAAAAGGACCTGAAGAATTTTATCTAGTTCAACTTATATGTTAGAAATTTCATTAATGATTTAGGAATTCAGAAGTCTTTGGATGGGGCCAGTGGTAAAGGGTGTCAGAATGATGAAAATAGATTCAGAATAATTCTTTATGAGCTGGAAAAGAATTTGGATAGCCACAGAAGAGAAGGAAATAAATGAATTAAAATAAAGAGACAGTAATTGAAAGAGTGGATGGAAATATAGTGAGTTGATTATCCTGATTAAAGTATTGCGTTCTGATGGAGGAATAAGTAAAGAAAATAAATCTATTTTATTAGAACGCTTAAAACTTAGGCAAAGGAGATAGGAACCACTCTAGCTTCTTAGATGGAGATTTGCAATGTAGTTATAATTTCCTTGTCACTTTTTTGTTTGTCTTTACTCTCTTTGACATGGTATACTTTACCTCTTTCGTGCATTATAATTTTGAGAAAATTAGCTATAATGGGATTTTTTAACTATTAATAAGTTTTAATATTTTGTTGCCTTTCGTTTTTAGGTTTTTTATATTTGGATTGGGAAAGGCTGTGACAATAACTTCATAGAGGATGTTCTTGGGTGTCCGGATTTTGCATCAATACCACAGAAAATGGTCAGTGGATTTTCAACAACTTAAACATTGTGTTTGCTTTTTGTTTTTAATTTTTTATAACATAAAAAATTTTTTTATGACATAATTTTTTATGACATAAAATTCTTGTTAAGAGTCAGTATTTTAACCATTTACAATGTATGAGTAGCTATTAATGCATTCACAATGTTGTATGACCACCACCACTCACTATCTAATTTCAAAATATTATGACTAAAAAATAGTTGACTATGTAGTTATACCATGTTTTTGATTATCCATCCATCCACTGATGGACATTTTGGTTGTTTCTACTTTGGGACTGTAATAAATAGTGCTGCTACAAATGTTCATGAACAAGTTTTTGTGTGAATACATGTTTTCACTTCTTTTGGGCATATACCTAGGAGGGAATTACTGGATCAGTAAGATAACTTTGTGCTCAGGTTTTTGAGGGTCTGCCAAAATGTTTTCCAACAACTTTCAACTTTTGATTTAAATTACTTTTCTCATAATAAACATAATTTTTT